GGCCCCGCGCCCGCCCCGCGCCCGCCCCGCGCGCGCTCGCACACGGGAGCCCTGGGAGGCCGGCGCGCGTCCCCACGGGTCGGGGCTGCGCTGGGGCCGGGGCAGGCGGGGTCCGCCTGGGCTCAGTGAGAGAGCGAGAACCTGGAGGCTGAGAAGTGCACAGTCACCCTCCCTGCCTGCCGCTCAGCATCGCACCCCAGCTGGCCGTCCTGGGTTTGCACCCGGGCGGGGCGGGGGAGGGCTGCCTGGGAGCCCCGTGACCCATTTCATTCCTGAGGTCTCCCGGGGGAGTCCCAGTGCCCGGCGGTCGCTTCTCCCCGCCTCTCCCTAAACTGCTATATTCGCGGTCAAAAGAATTGCTTAGCATGACATTCAGGATTAGCAGCAGGGATGTGGGGTGAGCAGGTTAGGGACGTGGATCTTTAAAGCAGCAACATGCTCCGCCCGCTCTTTTAGAATTACCCTTAACCACCCTACATCCCGATCCCAAAGGGTCCCCTTCCTTCCGTGTGCTCTGGACCTGGTTCATTATTACCGTTCCGGGAGCACATTTGCTTAACTGGATGTACGGTACTGCTGTGTGAATCATCGTTAGCATCATCAAATTGTACTTATTCGGTGCTCCTCGGGCGGAGTTTTCAAATGGAAATCATTTACTGAGTTCCTGCAGATGCCGACCAAAACCCAATTCATTTAGGTACTGAAATGGCAGTGTTATTATTATTTTTTTTCCATTTTAACACATCAATAGGTTCAAAGATTAAGAACCTGATAGCCGGGTGCTGTGATGAGCCTATGTCACCTCCAGATACAAAAATCAGAGCATCTAATAGATCTTAAGTTTAAAGATGATCTCCCAATTTAAAGATGGGAGAAGGAAAAAGTATGATATTCTGGTCTTTCTCTGTCAGCAGTGAAGGTTTTCCCAACTACCTGTCTTCGCACTCACTGAGGGGCTCTTGTACGAATAGAGATGGTCTCCGGGACATGGGACCTTAGAACTCCTTCCATCATCCTCTGCCCCGCCCGTGGCCTCCCCTGGTGCTCACTGTCATTTCTTAACCCAGCCTTGCAAGCTCACCCACCCTTGACATCGACCCCTTCTCTCTTCTCCTCCCCTTCTCCCATCAGTCACCTCCAGCCTCTGCGAGATCTCTGCCAGAGTTCTCAACTACAAATCAGTGATTCTGGGATAGGGCCCAGACTCTGCATTTGCAGCCTTCTCTCCCAGTGATCATAACACTGCTGGTCCGTGGACCACTCTTTGAGGAGCAAGGTTCCATGGCGTTTTAAGGATCACTTGTACCTGGTGGAGGTCATCAGACACCTGTACCTGCGGAGAACCATGCTAAGGGCTGGGCGTACCAATTCTGTAAGACGTGGTCTCTCTACTCACAGGCATGTATGGTGTGGTGGTGACAGACACATGAAGCCACAATAACACCAGGTAGCAAATGCTATAAATAAAGGGATGCATATCTTCCTCTCAATTGCTATGTGATGAATCAAAGCATTTTTAGAATGGAGTCATGAAAAATAAGTGTTTAAAATGCACACAGAAGTTTCAGTATGCTGCAGTTCAAACTACCAGCCAAAATTTTAGGAACCTGCATGGGCAGGGCAGTTTAGAGAAAGCAAAGGCACAGCGCCAGCCAGACACTCTCTTGGTCAACAACACTGACACAGGCCCTGACCTCGGCTCTTCCAGTAGTGGAGTTTATTCCCTCTTTAATACGTTTGGGAAATAAGAAAAAAGAAAGAGCCGAGGGCTGGGAAAGAGGGGAGGAATGTGGTGGGTGGCAGAGGTATGTGTGTTTCTGCAGTGAAGCCTGGAATGGGCTCAAGGAAGAGACAAGAAAATCAGCCAGCTCTGCACTCGCAATTCTGCTCAGTGACCCTTTGCCCTTGAATGATTACTGCTAACAAAAAAAAGGACAGCTTTTTTTTTTAGGAGTACATCGTTACTGTACTCCTAATTCTGTGTTTGTTGGTGTATTTGTTCAGACTTTGGTTACCACAGGGCAGAAATACAGTTCAAAGTAGCTTAAGCAAAAATGGTTGTTGCTGTCTGGCGTGGCTGGGAAAGGCCCTGGAGTGGTTCACGGAGAAGTGGCAGGAACACGATTCTATCTGGGTGCCAAGGTCGGTCAGTCCCAACCCTGTTCTTATTTCTTATCTTTGCTTCTCTGGGTTTGCTGGCCCCAGACTGTCCTCTCCTAGACAAACATTTCCCATGCAGCTGTAAAGGCGGCCGCAGGCAGCCCCTGACCTGCATGCTGAGACCATTTTCCCAGCTGGCGACAGGAATTCCCACAGGAAACGGGCCAGCCTGGTGTGTTACCAGCTCTAAACCAACCATAGGGCTAATAGGGTGGGATGAACTGGTTGGCCAGGCCTGGATTGTGTGTAGGGTCCCGCAGTGGCGTTTCCATCTGAACTTCACCAAATGGGCATTTCCCTAGAGGGAGAGTGAGGTGGAATGTCAGGCAGTGAGATACCAGGTGTCCTCTGAAGCTTAAAATGCAGTCGTCAGAAAGGAGCGTTTGCACAGCTTCTGTAACGCAGGCCATGAAGCAGGTGTCTGCAAGGCTGCTTCTCAGCGTATTCGCCTCCCATTACAGGACACTGTAGCAGATGTTCTCAGTATGTGACATTTTCTGCCTTCTCGTCACTTATTTTGTCTCTTTTTTTTTATAACTTTGGTAAAAAATTGTAAAGCTTTGAGCATGGCCTGGCATTTTTATAACCCAAGCTAATAATTACTGTTTGGTGACAGAAAGTCTGTATGCCCTTCTTAATCTACACGCCAACTTCAACTTCACCCTGTACCTGCACCTACTAAGGCTTCTTTGTCATTGAACTTGTAACTCGTGGGGCTGTCCCAGATCATGGACTGGACCGAGTCAGAACCCAAGCCAGTACTGTAGGGAGTCCATGGTGTCGATGTTGAAATGTTACTAGTCCACTTCTTTCCTGCTTGTATTGATGATTACTAGTCAATTTCTCTATATTTGAGTAACTGGGGCACTAATCCGGACCAGGTTAACCATGCTGTCTTCTGCTTAGCCAAGTGTCATGACTCCAAGTTTAACTTGATTTATTTCTTTATCTTACAGTAAATTTTATTGCAGAATAGCCTACATACAGAAAGTGCCTATTTCACAAGTGTACAGTATGATGGAGAGATACTAAGTGAATCTAACGCTTCTGAGAAGTGGAATGTTACCAGCACACCAACGCCTTCCTCTTGCCCCCTCCCAGTTATTGTCCCCACAGGGAGAAGGAAACCACCATTTTATATTCCAACACCATGGATTAGGGTAGCCTGTTTTTTAACTGTACACGAATGGAACCATGTGTACTTCTGTGTCTGCCTTCTTTCACTCACCATTATTTCTGTGGGATTTAGTTAGGTGCTGCATGGAGCACTTTTTCACTGCTGTGTAGTATTCTATTGTAGAATATGCCACAGTTTTTTCCATCCATCCTCTTATTGATCAACATTGGGTTGTCCTCTGGTTTGGCTATTGTGAATAAAACCACAATGAAACCTACACCTGAAACTAATATAAAATAATATTGAATGTCAACTATAATTAATATATATTAATTAATATATATTAGTATATTAATACTAATATGTTAATTATAGTTGACAATATATAGTCACCAGATGCTGGAGGGTATTGTAATAGCTATGTATGGTGTCAGATGGGTAGTAGACTTGTTGGAGTTATCATTTTGTGAGGCATGTAAATGTCTAATTATTATGTTATTTTGTACACCTGAAACTAATAATAAATAGTAAAACAAATGGAGACAGAAAAAAACAACAACAAAAAAATGATGAAATCCTTGTACGTGTCATGTGATACTCACATGTATGTGTTTCTATTCGGTATGTCCCAAAGGATGAATAATTGCTTCAAATTTTTGATGCCCTCACATGGATGCACTTCCTTTAAAAGAAGAAATAGGGCTGGCCGAGTGGCACGATGGTTAAGAACTGGCTTGGGATGCCAGAGGGCCCCGGTTCGGATCCCACAACAGCTCAACCTGGAGCTGGGCTGCCATGGGTCGCCAGCGATGGCGGAGGCTGAAAAAAAGAAAAAAAAAAAAAGAAATAGACGGAGAGTCTAAGAGTGGCTAGAAGTAGAAGAATCCATATTTTGCTCATGTACTACTTTGCATTCAAATTTTCTTTTACTCTGTCTGCTGAGTATTTACAATTAGGCAGCAATTGTAATCAATCAGTTTTAACCAGAACATTATTACTCAGTGTGCTCTCCGTCCCTTGCCTCTTAAAATCCTGACTTAAAATTCTGGTGAGTGAAACGGGACATGGGAGGCGAGGAGAGGAAAGAATAACCGGGTTCTGGGATGCTGGCTCGATGTCCTGTCCTTGGCTTGTGTAGGACATATGTATTGTCCCCTCTGTTCAACTCCTTCAGCAACACAAAGAGTCTGGGGACACTGAATTTATACCCCAAATTCTGCAAGGTATGTACACAGGGTGCCGTGTGACTAGAGCTCTGACAGTAGCCTCGATGACAATGAAGAATGGTTAGTTCTGTGTTTTATTTCTGGATGATGCTCACCTACCCCAGGGTATTATGTGGGTGGGTATTTAACATGTGCTTTGCTTGGTAATAAAGTTCAGCAGTCCTGACGCTTGATCATTCTACATTTGAGGCTCACATTTCTGATTGCTTTAGTCAACTGAGTTTACGCCAATTATGTGAGATCAGTGATACCCAGAAATTTGGATTTCTTGGGTTGGTCAATTTCAGCAGCATCAGCAACAACAACAAAATGGAGAGACTGACATGGGGTTTCCAAACTTTTATTTTGCTAAAT